AGTGTGTGCATATATATGTATGTGTATGTGTGTGTAAATGTAGTAGAACACGCAGTTATCAAAGAACACGTCGGTATATACGATTAACCATACAATTTACGGTAATTGGTCTGATTTTAATGACTTTTGAATTATCGTCGCCACGAATCTTCTCTCTCATTCTCTCATTCTCATTATTTTTTTTCCTTTTCTTTTTTATATATATCACATAGTTTCTCAAATTACGATACCAATACGATTATATTTTTTATTGTACAATTTTATTACGTAATACTTTCAATAAATATATTTTTATTAAAAATATAAATTGTATTTTAATATAGTAATTAAATATTTTTTATTATTATTATTATATACAGTTTTTTATTATTTCTTTTTTTTATAATTATTATTATTTCCAAATATTGTAACAAGATTTTATAAAATATGTAACAAGAATTTCATTTGCGAATAATTTTAATTAAATATTAGGGTAAATTTTTTTTTAATATTAAATATGTCCAAAATAAATTTTATAAAAACAATCTATTATGCAATTTCAAATAAAATAGTATAAATTTATAATAATATAATTTATTAATATCTTATCTCTATAAAATTCCCCTGTCACAGTGTTTGTTATTCTTATTCTCCGAAACGACTTGACCGATTTATATGAAATTTTTTGTGTATATTCGGTAGGTATGAGATTAGTTTTTCTTATATTTCTTATACCCCTGCGTGATAAGGGTGACCCATCATAATTATTTTTCCTTTAAAAGGATATTAAGAAAAAAGAGAAAAAAAAGACAAATGTTATGTGCCTATATTCAGACAATGTAAAATTATATGATGTGAAGTAAGTGGTGATCTTATGTTACCGCTCATGCGCAGTTGGTTCGATATTAAAAAAAAAGAGAAAAAAAAGATCAATGTTATGTGCGTAGATTCAGATCTATCTATATATTTATTAGCCACAGCAACGCGTGGCCGGGGCACCCCTAGTATATATATAATAATTAAATTATAATATAATTTTTATAAATTTATAATGTTTCCATATTTTTTCCTTTTTTTTTTTGTTCAAAAATCCATTATGAGATATACATATATATATATATATATATATATATATATATATATGTTTTTTTTAATCATAAAATACTTTTATAACGGAGTACACATACATATACATATATAATTTTTTTCGATTATTATTTATAGGATAAAAAATATAAAAAAATAATTTGAGAACCCCTGTTATCCTGTGTCCAGATTATTTTATTATTTTTTATTCCTTTTATTTTTTTATTCATTATTTTACATCGTAGAAAATATCCTACGACCCTTTTTTAAACACGACTCGAACTAATTTTCATTTATTATCTATACGTGTGCATCACGAATCATGTTGAACACGTTAAATTAAAATCATCCAATGGTATTTCGCATGCTCGTTCGTTCACTCACTGGTTCGTTCGTTCGCTTTCTTGTTCCCTTTTTTATTTTTTTTTTTTTTAACTTTCTACCTGAGATTGAATAAGTCACGTTATCTTTTTCCTTTTTTTTTTTTTACTATTCACCCTAGTTATGTTTTAATATTGAATTATGGTCTTTTGGAATATTTCTACTTTTTCATTCGAATTATTTATATATGCTTGCATGTATTTGTGTATAAAATGATCCACGATAAAGAAAGGATCATCAATTTAAAATGTTGCATTTATAAAAAAAAAAAAAATGTTATATTGATTTATGTACGTTTACGAATGATGATTAGGTTCATTTGACCGAACTATAATGTATAACACATTTTTGAATCCATAAATTAATCCTTTTCAAGTCAACTAAATTTAATCCGTTAATTTATTACAGGATTTGGATGAAGGTCCTGATTTACCAAATAAAGGTGGAAACGTTTGAGTAATAAATCATTTCCTTAACATTTTTTTCCCCTCTTAATTATAATTCTGTTCGAAAATATATTCCAATATAGAATTTTAATTTTTTAAATATTTACAAATTAATAAATGCATCAACAAAAGTAAAATATTCAAAGATTTGATTGTTAATTTGGCAATTCACAAAAAAAAAAGAAAAAAGAAATTTAATTTAAAAAAAATAGAAAAATTTAGGGGAGGAATTATTTCTATTTTGGGCTCAGAACTTTTCAACACACTCAATATTAAAAAATATTAATACCATTTTAATAATAAAAAAAAATATTAAATAAATAAAAATATTAATGTCAAATTAATAATAATTAATATTTTAACAATAAATACAAATTATCTATAAAAAAACCTCGACACATAAACTTTCAAAACTGTCTGAAACATAAATTTAAAAATTTGTCCAATTAAACGTCACAAAAAATAAATTATTACCAATTTTCTATGTATGTGTAGAATTCAAATAAAAACATATAAATGGGATTTACATTTATTCATATGTTTTGAATAGAAAATTCTTTTAAAAATTCATCATAAATTAATAATAAATATTTCTTTATGAATCATCCTGTAGGTTCGTAGTATGTTAGAGTTTATTGTCGATTTTATATACGACCAATGAGAGTCGTGATGTGATCACGTACAGGAAAAAGTCATTTACATATTTTCAAAAGTAAAATATTGATCATCATCATCATCATCATCTTCTTCTTCTTCTTCTAGTTGACATACATATGTAATAGAAACACACATGAATTGACGATGATCATATTCATTTTAAACGAGCAAATTCCGTTAGATCTTAACTCGTCCATCTTTATTAACATTTTTTGGCGGGAAATTTGAATCTATATATTTTTATCAATATAAAAATACTCGATTTATTTAAAATTATATCAAAATGATGTAACCTAATCGCAAGATTTATAACAATAATAATAATAATAATGATAATTATGATTGTAACGGAAATGATATTAAACCATCAATTTAAATGATCATTCAAACTGTTCACGGATCAATAACCTCAAATTTAGTATATCTTCATTTTTTGTTCTTGTTGTATTTTAATCATCTATAATAAAATGCAAATTAGAACTATCATATAATACCATACACATTTTATTTCATTTATTAGATTATGTATATTTTTATAGAGTTCCAGATAACTTAATATACAAATTTGAGTATTATATTGGGTGTCTTAATGTTGTGTAATTAAATTATCATAATAAACTTGTTCTTAAATTTGGCATTAATTTGACATTGTATGAAAATATGTGGACAGGTTGAACAATTTTGAGCTTAATATATTGAAAACAATTCTTTTTCTTTAAGATATAAATTATTATTATTATTATTATTATTTAGTATATACTTCATTTTGAAATTATAAATTTGCTTATCTGTTTGAATATATTATATTTTCTAATAACCTAAAATTTAAATAATACTTAGTATGTTAATTAAATATAAATTTATTAAATTATAATTTTATTATTTTTATATATATTATTATATATTTTATTACATATTATTTTTCTTATATTATTTAATATTAATTTATAATTTTATTATTTATAAATATTATTATATTTTTTATTTTTATATTTATTTATTATATATTATTTTACTTTATTATATAATTTAATATTAATTTATATAACTACACAATTGCAATTGTTTGTTAATATTTTTTTTTTTTTTAGTTAGGTATTAACTAATATTGTTCTTAATGTTAAAAAAAAACTATAAGAATTGATTTGTAACAAGTTAAATATATAAAAGACCGTTGACAATATTTCACGGTTATCGTTCAGTATTATCCTGACAAAGAGAGAATGATGTCACTAACCAGTTTTTTTTTCTTTTTCTTTTTTTTAAAGTATCCTACTGAATCGTACAAGAAACGTAATGGATAAAAGGAATTTAAATCTGATTATTCATGAACGATTTGCTATTCCAACACACACGAACGGCCCATTTTTTACGCTCGAAGAAGATATGCGTGTCAACTTTTATTCTTTACACTTTCTCCTAATTAAAATTTATTGTCTAGTTGGGTTAGATAGGAATTGAATGGAAGATGATCGAGAAATCACGTTTGGAAAAAATGAAACCTACTACTTGGGGGTGGGGTGTGATGAGGGGGAAAGAGAATCATCTAAAACGAGTTTTATTGGATATTATCGTATTTCTATCATAACTTGAATAATATTATATGGAAGCAACTAATTAAATTGTTAATTTATAAAACTCGTAAATTTTTAATCAACCGGTTTGTACAAACAACAATATTTTTTTTTATAGAATATAGTCAAATGAATGATAGAAATTTTTGGACAAAATAAATTATTAAAATAATAAAATAAAATAATCAAATAATAATATGAATTATAATAAATAATTATAGATTTACTTAATAATTCAAATTTAAATATTTATTTTTTAAATTAAGATTAATTAGTATAAAATTAACTAATTAATACTAGTTAATATAATATAATATAAAATAATGAATATATAATATTAATTAATATTAAAATAATAATAATCATCTATATAGAATTACGATAATCGTAAAAAACAACAGTAATAAATTTACAAGTTTCAATAAATAAAAAATAAATTTTAAAATTGTTAATATAATTATGAATCCTTAATATTTTATTAATATTATTATTATTAAAAATAACCTTTAAATCAATTCACACACAATACAATTTTGTTTTAAATTATAAAAATAACATTTACCTATAATTTAAACGAACACATTAATTTTTAATTTTTTAAATATAGATTAGTTAATGATATTATCTATATACTACCCTAAATAAGTTTTTGGTTATCTTTATTATGAAAAAGTGTATGAAAAGATCTCGTCTTCTTGTGAGCTTGAACATTGTGAACGTTACACAGAGAGAGAACATGCTTCGCGTTCTTTCACATCGATGATGGTGGGAGAAGCACACCAGTCAAACTGGTATCATTGTTCCACTCGCACACTCCTTCTAACCTATACACACATATATATGCATATCGTACCAACGTACGAACATACGGACGAACGAACGAACGTGCACCACGTACATATTATGGTTCCGACGACGACCGGCTTTGAGAAACATCCTACAGCATCCATCCAAGTAAGTTCTCATCTTACTTTAGCGCCTTCCAATCAAAAAAAAAACATCCGCAAATTCGACTTTTATCAAAAAACAATTTTCATTAACCATGTTTCATTCTCCAAAGCCTTTTTATCTTTATTTATTGTAAATCAAATGTTTTAATTAATTTGGAAATATTTTGTTTTTTGTTTTCCAAATAATTTTTGTTTATAATGTATTTTTGGGTTTGTTCTATTAACAATTTTTGTTTTCAACAGAAATTGCTTTAATATTGTTATATAACAATAAAATATAATAAATATAATATAAATTATTATATATATATATAATAATATAGAATTATATTAATATATATAATTAAATAATATAGTTATATAGTATAATAATTTTATTATTTATATTATTATATAAAATTATATTAACATATATATAATATAAATAATATAATTATATAATATTAATAATATATAAAATATATAATAATAATATATAATATTATTATNATTATATAATATTAATAATATATAAAATATATAATAATAATATATAATATTATTATATTATTATTATATTATATTATAATATAGTATAATATAGTAATATAATTATAATATAATAATAATAATAATTATTATTTTTATTATAATAAAATATAATAACAATAAAAATAGTTATTTAAAAATTTAACAAATATATTTATAATTTGAACATTTATTTTCTTTTTATAAAACCGTGTTATTTTTAAAAATTACCCTTGTTACCTAGACAATACTTTTTACGAAGCTCTTTAAAATTTTTTTAAAAAATAAATTACAACAAAATAAAAATAATATTAATTTTTTTGTAGAAATTAATTACTTTAGTCTCGTTATTCACGTAATATAGTAGCATTTATAAATTTGCACGGGTCATTAAAAATTAAACACAACCTGATATTTAAGCTCGTAAATCTTGAATGAACCTTGATTAAAGTGTTACTTAGATTAGAATATTCAAGATGATGTTAAAATTCGATCTATCGTAAATTTTACATACTTAATTATTTGAGAAATTTGCTTAAGATATACAGCAACGATCTTTAATGATTTTCAAACGTTTCTTTTTAAGAATTACATATCTAACACGTGTGTATGTGTGTAAACATAAGTAAGAAATATACATTAAGTTATTAGACACACTGGTCAAATATTACCATAACTTTGTAATTAAAATCAACTAATGTTGTAAGAGTTATAAAAAGAAAAACATCTTCATTTTAATATAAAATGAATGCTTTTGACTCGAACTAACGTGACTCACGTTTTTCTTTTTTTATTTTTTTTTTACAACCGTGTGTGCAATAAAATTTTATCGGAAGTTTCTCGTAAAATAATAGTAGTAGTATAGTCTTTATTTTTTTTATTTGTACAAAATTTTATAAACTTTTGAAATATTTTCCGTAGTCTATAAAAAATAAAGTGAACAAAATTCAAATAAAATTAATTTTTTTTCCTCAAATTCTTACGCATTTTTTGTTATGTTTTTTTTTGTTCTTACGCTTTTATTGTTATAAAAATAATCATAATACGAATCTTATAAAAAATATTATTTTTCAAATAAAAATTAAAATAAAAATTTCTACGCAATGTATTTATTGTTATAAAAATAATAATCATAAATGGGAAATAAATAATACGAATCTTACGAAACATATTATTTTTCAAAGAGAAACTAAATTATTAAAAAAAAAAAATATTATAAATGTATTCATGTATCAATACAGGTAAAGTATAATAAACTTAGTAAAATATAACTCAATATTATATTTAAATATTTTATTAACATAAATATTTTACCCATTTGAATAATAATATCTATAATATTTATGTGTAAGTATACAAGTATATAAGTATGGTAAGTATATATGTATAATACATATGAAATTGTACATTGAATCTATTTGAAAGATAATTCGTTTTATTCATATTGTATATAATTATAGTGAAAGTTTGCAAAAGTAGTAAGAAGTTTGAAAAAATTATCAGACAGATCAAATTTCATAGTATTCCATATTCTATTTTCCTTTCTTTTTTTTCTTTTTAATTTTTAGTTTCTTCTTTGAACTTTCCATAACTACGTAAGAAGATCAATTCGTAAATACTCAACGTATGTTACATATGTAAAACGAAAATAATAATACGATCTGTGTACATTGAATGATCAGTTATTTAGGAGAAAGGATAGATGCAATTTAATCGACATTTATGTCGATCGTCAATTAGTCAAAGAAATCGAAAATACGTAATCAAAAAGAGAGAGAGAAAGTCACGCGATCGTAAATGCAAAACTCGATAACAGAAAATCTATATGGTGTTTGATCAATCGTAGAAATTTCACTCACCACAATCACATTTTCTTTTTATTTCTTCCTATTTCAATTCAAGAGTTTTGTAATAATATAAATTTATATAAAAACTAAGGGTGCCCCACCACGCGTTGCTCACAATCAGTCCGATACATACGTCTTTAAGTCAACGAATTACATTATACCGCCATCTGTTAGTATCTTATCGAACTAACAGAGATAATCATGACTCTTTGTTAATAAACAAATAATTCGCAATAAAATAATATTGCGATTATAAATTGAGATATAAACTATCCTATCTTTCAAGTTAGATGAAACTGCACCCAGTGTGCAAAATTTTATTAAAATCGGTTTAGTAGTTTAGGAGTTCATTGCGGACAAACAACGTTACACGTAATTTATATACATTAAGATAAAGAAATAAATATATGATATAAATATATAAAATATATATATGTGCCCATAATTATAAAAGTGGTCTAATGTAAGTCATATATCTCTTGTTTCGAGATATTTAAAAAGAATTACATTTGAACTATATGAATTCTATACAATATTGAAATAACAAACATTATCTAACGATTCATTTTTGATAATATCATGAAAATTACATTGAATTTATTTAGTTTATAATAATGTAGTGCGTAATAACTGATAAACTTATTTTTTATTAATTTTGACTTAGACCACTTTCATAATTATGGGCACATATGTACATGAGAGTATTTAATTGAAAAAAATAAAAAAAAAAATAAATAAATAACTTGCATTATTTTAAATTTTATTTTTTGAAATGAACACACCTAATAATAAGAAAAACAGATAAGGTGTTAAAAATTATTATATTTTACAATTGTATAATAGAAAATTAAAACAAATATAATAAAATATTATGCAAATTATTTATATAAAAAAAAATATTAAAATATAGTAATAACGAATTGATAAAAAAAACGTACCGATTTTTATGAGAAGGTTATTAGATCCAAATTTAACACTTTGTTGACCAATCCCGAGTTAACTCGTGTTTCTGTGGCCGAACGTTGCTGACCGGTCACGAGTTAACTCGTGATACGCTTTTTGTTCACAACACGCTATTTAAAATATAATAATAAGTAAAATTTATTAAAAATTACTTATATTGTTTTACTTTTCAATTTAATTACGAAGTAATAGCCAGTGACATGGGATAAATTCTTAAAAAAATAGCCGGTCAACAGAGTGTTAAATGTTAGAAAAATAAAAAAAATAGATAAATGTTCTTATAAATGATGACAATTTTCCAATGAGTATATTTTCTTACAATCGAATAATGAATTATTATCAAAAACGTATAAATCGTACAAACTTCTCATCCTTCAAATTTCCCCATTCCATAAAACCCCATCCCATCCCAATTTGAAATCCCAGCATCATCTCATCTCTGGTTTCCACGATTCTCCTGTCTGAATTCTCCATTCTTTTCATGAGATTTATGCACGAAACTTATGGCTGTTGTTGTTCGCGTGCTTTTCAGGGTGTTTCGCCTAAAGGAATTTGGCACACATTTCTTCCTCTTATTCTTCTTCTTCTTCTCTATATTTGTGTATATGTATGTATATGTCTGCTTTATGCATACTTGTGTGCATTTGAGTGTGTGTGTGTGTTTGCAAGTGAGTCAAAGTAATAGGTATGCCTACCCTGAAATAAAGAAAAGGAAAAAAAATATATAAAAAAAAAAATGGAAGAGTAAAAAAAAAAAAGAAAAAAAAAAAGAAAGGATAGGACTTTGTTGGTGCCACGAAACCTATAATTAGGGTAAGGGCCCTGGAAATAACATTTTAGACGAATATAAGCGGCACACGAAAAGACCTTTCTACCTCCCACCCACTTCTTCATCATCATCATCATCATCTTCTTTCTTTCTTCCTTCTTCTACTTTTTTTTTCTTTTTTTTTTTTCTTATTCTATTTTTTCTTCTGCTCTTTATATTTCTTTTTTTTCTTTTTTTTTCTGTTCATTCTACCTCGTCGAACCTCGAGACTTTCTTGTTTCACCTGGTCTCCGAGTCAGCCAAGTTCGACAGGTTGGTAAACTCGCTCGAGTTAATTAGCCGGTTCGTTCTAAAATTTTAATAAAAGTTGCTGACAGCAACTAGATGAAATGTTTCTTCTTTAACATTCGTTACTTTCTCTTTTTTTTTTATTGTATTACAATTTTATTAATTTTTTATTTTGTTTTTTTTTTATGCTTCTTTTCATTTTTTTATTTAAACTAAATTAGATTAAATTAAATAACAATTTATTTATTTAAAAACTTGAATTTTTCTTTATCAATTTTTTATATTTATTTATTTATTTATTTAAATTAAATTAAATTAAATTAGTTTAGAATTTATTTATAATATTTCAAAACTTGCATTTTTCTCTTTATCTTTTTTTTATATTTATTTATTTATTAATTTGTCTTTTGTTTTTTTTTAATTCCTAAAGTTACATAGTTCCGATAGAAACAAAATATTTTGTTAGTAATAAAAATGTCTTGATAAATATTTACAAATTTCGTATAAAATGTTTGAATAATACATTGGACTTTTTTTTTATTTTTATTTGTTTTTGTCATCACATCGTGTTGACAGAAAATTATACAATATTTAAATTATTCAAAGGATTCAAGTATGTACGAATTTTTA